CCAATCAACGACGGTATGATATAAAAACAATTATACTGATACCTTGATAATTATCACAAAGGTTAAGAATCACCTGTTCAAATATCAGAATAGCTATGACCTGCTTCCACAGTGATGAAGCACTGACGATCTGCTACATCTTAGCAAAAAACCAGTTAGTAGTCTGACTATTAACTTACCATTATTAAAAAGAGCACGAAGTAAGTTGTTTACACCGTGCTTTATGACGCTTCACGACTTGGAGCTTCTTAAGGAATCTCGCTTCGTTAAGTAGGTCAGTGTTAGCTGATCAAAGAGCAAACAAATTTCAAAGTCACCATCGCTTGTGCAGCGGACCAACTAAACAGCTTTTCGTACTGCTCCACGCAGTGTTCCAACCATTTACAAAGTTTGCTAGTCGGCGTGCCATCTACTTCACAGACAGCCTCAGGCACACCAGCTTTTTGCTGCCAGGAGCTTAGATGGGTTGGAACAACTGCTGATTCGTGCTAGGTACAGTTGTTGCGTTCTAAACACCACGATTTGCAGTCCTTGCGTAAATACTGCGTGATTTGTTGGGTAAGAGACTTATGGACATAACTGTACTTCCAGTCTGTCAGACTACACCAAAGAGCTTCAGGATGTTGCGGAGAAGTCGTAGAAATCCATTGTTTATTAGCCGATGTTTTTGGAAACCGCAAGCAATTTTACTCACCATTTATAGGGCATTCTGAAGATGTAGTCAATGCTTACTCATGCTCTCTGAAGGTTCAGCAATGAGCCTTGAAAATGGTTCGGTTTCACACTAAGCTTAAATAATTGAACCAACCAGTTTGCTTACGTCAATCTAGTGATAAACACCAAGACGTACATTCAGGCATGGTCATGGTGGACACCAGGTAGCACAACCATGGATGTGCTGGATGTTAGTGTTGCCTATGAAAAAGTTGTGATCTTCACAGTCGTAAAAGATGATGATAATTACATCACTTGATACCAGCTTATTCCCACTGACTACCAAAAAGACTCACCTAAGATTACACGCCTGACTTGTATATTCGTTTCCAAATATCACTACGATACCTATTGAGTGAGCGTTACTGCACTCACTCAACTGATGGCAGGACTCATCATTAAGTGCACCTGAGGTCCAGCCAGTCGCGACATTGTCAGATTTAAAAATTCATTCTTGTTATGTGGAATAAGATTGCCATGATCTGCATAAAAAGCACCCTTACAAGTTACTTCTCTCCTATAGGAAATTCCAACTTAACACCACATAGACTTCTCATGGGTATTCAGTCGACCAGTACAGCTTCGGCTCTGACAATTAGTGAGACAATAGTATCATCAAGACAAGCTGCTGATACCACGGGGTCCCCGGATAGGCACACTGTTAACAAACTTTTTGAGCTGACAGATGAAGAAGCTACTCGAGTTTCAAAGCAGAGATAGTGAATACGCCACCATATGAGAGCACTTTGGGAAGACAATCACGGTCATTCCATATTCAGTCATAATAGCGTGTTTGGAAAATACCAGAACATTGGTACTAATGACTGGGTTAGGATTACCAACAAAACGGCCAATTAAAATCAACTCTAAAGTGTACTCGTTACAAAGCATGTAGCAGCGTAGCTACACAAGAGAATGGTCACTATATCGCGAATGTTAGTGAAAAACTTTAACTTGTCAGTAAAACCTTTATAACTACTGGGATTATTTACATAATTTGAATTTGTAACTACTTTAGCCTGCGAAACTTGCAAGGCTGGCGACGAATAATTCTTGAAATCCTTTTGCGCTGCCTTTAAGAGAAGTGAATCAACTGGAAAAGCAAATACGTCCCTAGGTTTTGTTTCACAACTCTCTTGTTATTTCCTTCGTATAGCAAGGAGAAAAACAACAATTCCATTAATAGTCTGAGAAGACCTTGCCAAATTTCCAGTGATTCCCTACATAACTTTATTCCTAATAGCAACTTCAAATCTCTCGCGGATGGGTAAGTCAGCAAACGAATTCTTTAATACTAAATGCAGTAGAACCTACGCTTAACGATCAAGTATGAGCATAAACGTGCTCTTGTTCATCTTGCCAGAGTTAGTCAGACAATATTACCATAGGGACTGGAACGACTGTGTAACAGTCCGATTTGCCACGCATACCAACACATCAGGTGAGAATGCACTGGGGGGGGAGGGGGGAAAGACGAAGGAATAAATTAGAAAAGTGACAAAAAGTCGTCGGGAGAGAGCAAAGAAGAGTGGAATAATACTGAAATTCGGTATAACGATCAAGATGAAGATGGTGTGCGGATACATCTGTACCACTGAGATCGATCCCAAGTCGTTTCGTCCAGAGTCCCCGACCACCGATTTCTTTTGGTACAACTAATAGAGCTATGTCATCTGCGTTTTCTAGATCTGCTAAGGAATCTCCTGTGATAAGATCAATCCTAGTTGAGCCAGACGACGATAGGGGACCTGTGTGACAAAGTTGAATAAGAATGGAGAGTGGATGTCCTTGGTGGACATCACTCGGTGTGCACAACTTACCTACCTGACAGCTCACCATAGGCTTTAACACGCCCACGGGTGTCTGAATTCATAGACCTCAACAGAGTGATATACATACTCGATACTCTTCAGTGAGACATTGCTGTAAGACCTCACGGTCAACGGAATCGAGTCCCACCTTCAGGTTGAGGAACACAGCTAGTTTTGGGCGTTGGTGAGTGCGCCTGTGTTATAAAACCTTGTGAACGGTGAATATGTGTTCAATGCACTCACGACGATGTTTGAAACTTACCTGGTTTTCTCAGGTTTGCTGTTGTTGATCTCCATTTAGATGTCTGATAATTATAGAACCTATAAGCTTAGACACTATGGTCGTCAGACTGATTCCCCTGTGGTTATGGCAAGAGGATTTCTGACCATTATTGAAGACTGGGACAATCAGTAGTTGAGACTACTCAGATTGGGTAGTGTTTGATTCCCATACGCTAACAGACACTTTAGTTAGCCTGACCAGTAATCCACGGTCACCATCCTTAATTACCTCCGGTACTGGGGGGCATTCAGTCACACTGCTCTTACTTGTTTCAGGTAACTTATAGCTCTCTCGACTTCCGTAAGTGTTATGGTTCGTGTCTAAATGTTTCACTCAGGATTGGACTAGGTTGTGGGCAACGGATCGGTCGGTGGAGGCTAGCTAGACGTTTTCATCGTTATATTCCTCTCTATTGCTCCCTCTCCTCTACTTATTCTCACTAACCATTAACCCTTTGATTGCAGTTACTTTGGCAGTTCTAAATAGCCGTCTTTTACCTATCACCCCATTCCTTTTCATCTTTGTAGCCTTCGCTTACCACAACTCCTCGCGGCCATTGTATAAACTTCTCGTCAGTGTACATTTGAGCTTCTTCCGCTCCTCATTGTGCGCGTAGCCTGCGGGAATGCGTTCGCTTGTATCCATTAGCTCATAAGTAGGTGTTGAGATCCACTGGCACGTTCGAACCGTTTCCTAGAAATCAGCTAGTCTGTAAGGCTGTTCATGTAGCAGACTAGAGATGGCTCCAGGCTTCTTCCCGATTACTGACATTGTCTGGTTCTAATAGCTTTCCAGTAATTGAGACTAGTCAGATTGGGTCATGTTTTATTCCCATTCACTAACAGACATTTTAGTTAGCCTGGCCAGTAATCTACGGTCACCATCCTTAATTACTTCCGGTACTGGAAAATTCAATCACATAGCCCTTGCTCGTTTCAGGTTACTCACAGGCTTTGTAATGCGCGCAGTCCACACTGATGAAGGCAGATGAACTTGTTTTCTTAACTGACTGTTACTAAAAAGTACTCTAATAACTTGCTTTTCCACAAAGACGATTAAAATCAAAGTTGTGCATGGCGTTTAAAAGTTACCTATCGATTGATCAAAAGCTGTTACACGCGTTGGAAGTAGAGAATACTAAGGCTTTATGTTATAATCTGATTGAAGCAGCGAATAAAGAGTCCTAGTGAAACAGCCTGTCAAGCATAGTCACTGAAATAGTCTTCAGTACTACACAACACTTATTCTCCAGAAAAGACTGACTTATGGATCGTCGTCATAGTCCCAATAGGAGACTTCAGCATGTACGTTTTACATCAATGTTTCGTCATAAATACATATTTAGTTTGATTAAGACGAAAATACAATGAAGAATGAATTTAAAAGCGAAGAGTGAATATTTCAAATAACCTTGGTGTAATCTTAGGAGGAACGACAGTGAAAAGTGAGTTCATTATGAATCTCACCTCCATACACAGGAGTCACGAAATTTTCCGATACTGAAGGTAATACACAGTGCACAAGTGATAAGCACCAAAAGACGATACTTTTACATATAACACGGAAGCCCAGTTAATGATGAGATAAAATACTCCAGGAACCCCTAACCTTCAAAACATCAAGAGACACAATAACAATTAGTCCATGGAATAATAACCTTAACCATGAAACAATATTCTGAGCATAAGCGTATATTTTCTGGGCAGAGCTACAAGTTTTCGTCTTTAACACGACAACCCTGCGTGAATGTAGCAGTAAGAAGCTTACTCCAACTTCCAGGATAAGAATGATGCATTGTCGGGTGTTTTGCTGCCACAGGCTTTGACTCTTACAGCCTATAATACAGTCAAACGACTTAGCAAAATTCTAGGTCAGGCGTAATCTACGGTTTTGGACATATCAAGTTTTCCGAAGACAATGGTATTTAACACCACGACTCTGAAATCACCAGTAGATATTTTTTGCACAGTTAAAGTTGAGATTTTAATAGTCTGTAGCAATATCGCAGATAGTTATTGCGTTTGCTGGTTTTGTTAACAGGTCATACATTCCGCCTTGCACGCAAAACAAAATCCTACCACATACAATGAATGGAGTACAAAGTCCGAAGAATATAGAAAGCGAAATAGGTATCCGTATATCCAGTTTGACCAGTAAATTCGGTACGGAAGTACCTGGTAGGAGTGACTTACCTTACAATGAAGGTGAACGAAACCGGAGTACGCGGTAGACACGGAGGAATGAAGACCGCCACATGAAAAGTGACCTTCTAATATCCAACATCCAACTACAATAGTGTGAGTAGAAGAAACTTGTAGTTTATGAGCTCTCCCTTTTAGGTCTTGAGGCTCGGTTATTTTGCTTGATTATACTCCTTCAGTGGTCACAGAAGTCTTTGCGTTTCCCTGCTTACAGCTTTTGAGGTAGTGGTTGTCTATTTGAAGGTACTTTATTTGCAAATTGTAGCTTCCGATATCCAATATATTTTAACGAGCTGGTGTAAACCAGTTGATTTCTTCGCGCTCGCTTCTAAATCTTGCGGAACGGTTCCAGGTCTTTGGTGGATTCCAATGCAGTAGGTCTACCCACTCGGCTGCTGTAGCTCTGGTTAGCCCAACAGGGGGTTGGGTGTTGGTTAAATTTGTAGGTAGTGTTGCTTGTTTGTTTGCTTTTCCTTCCAAATACTGTGGTGCAGGTGGGTTCCTCAAGTGTCGTGCCAGCAGATAGTTGGTCAGACTGGTTGTAAAAAGGAGATGAAAAATATGTGCAGAGGAATCAAGGGAGAGAAAGTGCAGAGAGAGACAAAACAAAAAAAGAAAAGGAAACAAGAAAGAAAAATAATTCAAGAAGATTAGGGAAAAGGAAACGGCACGGAAGAAGAAACATTGGTAGGTTCACGGGAAATAGGTGATAGGGAGTGCTTTTGTTAAAGTCTGAGAACGCAAAGTCAGAAGGAAGAACAATAAATAACATGATCGGATGAATGGGAATATAGCAATTCTTTTAGTAGGAGACGGTAAGTGGAGGGGACGTCTACAGGAGAGTATAAGGTCCAACCAAGTTCTCAGTGATAGTGGCTTTACAGAGCGTTCAGTAACGGTTGATCGTACCGAGTTAGTAGGTCGTGTCGGCCAAGTCCACATCCCAGTTGGGTGAGCGCGAACCGTGCGTCACTGTGTAACTGTCCAACCTCTTCTTGGAGCTGTCAACAGATGCAACTGTAGCAGTCTCGGCAGGCAATGCACTCCAGTGGCCGCAAACTCGCAGAGAGAAGTGTGATCGCACACGGGTTTTCGCTCTTTGGTGGGCGATTCTCCTTGGGTTACCACGAGGATCACCATGGTGGCCGTTCGGTAGGATTCCACAGTTCTAATGACTTGGGTTACTGAGTATTTGTAAGCCGTCACAACTCACCACGTAATCTAAGGTAGCTTAAGGAGCAGAGCCCCAGATCTTTCAGTCTGTCCTGATGTGGTTTTTGCCTCATTCCCATGACACTCTTTGCAGCTCGCCTTTGGGCTTTCTCCAGGAGGTTCACATCTCTTTCCAGACATGGTGGTGCAATGACGTTGTGTACCTCTAGGTGGGGTCGTATATAGGTCTTATGCAGCTTCACAAAGAGTTCCGGGGTCGGGCACCCAACTGCCTGCGCATGAAGTGCAGCACTGCGTAGGCTCTGGTAACATCTCCTGGATAATTGGAGCTGGTGTCTAGTCTATCAGTTAGTATTAGTCCTAGGTCTTTCTCTGTGGTGGTGTGGGAGAGTTATGTTCCACAGAGAGAATGGGGTACCCTCTGAGAGTTTGGAGTGCGGAGAAACATGGCTCGGCATTTATCTAGGTTAAATGCAAGTCCATTATTATTCACCCACCCTGCAAGTAATCTGAGATCACTTTGCAGTGCACTTGATTCCGTTTCTGACGTCATAACTCTCCACAGATTAACATCAGCGTGGAGTAGAATTGCGGGGCTTGGATTCAGTTGCAGGTCGTTCACAAAAAGAAGGATTAGTAGTGGACCCAGAATCGCTCCTTGTGATACACCAGATGATGATGTCCTCCAAGTGGGGCAGACTCTGTTGGCTTTCGTGCAGAACTGTCTACCGTCTAGATAGTCCTGCAACCATGAAAGCACTTGTCCCTTGATGCCCAACCCTGCTATTTTGTGAATAAGAACGTTGTGTGGAACTGTGTCGAAGGCCTTAGTAAAATCCAGGAAAATGACATGGACAGGAATTTGGAGGTCCCAGCATGCCGTCCACTTATCACCCGCCACCAGAATGTTTGTGGCACGGGACCCACCCTTTCTGAAACCTTGTTGAGCATCACTTAGTGCTCCCCTCTTTTCTAAGTGCTCCCTGACACGGTCGTCTACCAGACTCTCCATTACCTTTGACACCACTGGTGGAAGGGCTATGGGTCGGTAGCATTTTGGGTTCTGCCTGTCTCCACCTTTGAAGATGAGGGACAGAATGGCACTTTTGCACTCTTGTGGAAGCATGTGAATGTCTAAGGAGTGTTGAAGCAAGTCACACAGCGGACCGCACGAGGCACCGGCGCACTGTTTCAGCACGGCTGGTCGGATGTCATCACATCCTGGTGGTTTCCCTGGGCGGAGCTTTGAGAGTTTTTCGAGGACCATAGCAGGAGTTACCTTTGTTCCAGGTAACTCTACTGCGTTTGGTGGTGCTGAATAATGGTCGGATAGTTGATAATATTGGTTCAGTAGGGGCGTGTTGAGTTGCATATCGAAGGTGGTGCCGAAGGCTTCGGTGACCTCTAGTCCGGAGAGGTTCTCTCCGTCTAGGCCTTTCAGGACGCAAGCCCCCTGGCTGGAGGATTTTCTGCCTGCCATGAACCGATAAAGGTTTTTGGGGTCTGCCTCGAGCTTTTGGGCAAGGTTCGTCCGAAATGACCTTGCTCTATTGTTACATCGATTTCTTAGGGCAATATACACGGTGTGGTCAGACTCTTTTCTGGAGGTCCTCCACTTGTGCCAGGCTCTCCTTTTGGCCTTCAAAAGGCATTCGGCGCCTCGTTTCGGCCATGAAGTTCGCTTCCGCGGCATTGCTGTGATTACTGGGACGTTTTCAGAGACAGCCCCCTTGATGATGTCTCTGACCAGTTCCCAGTGTTGGTCAGTCGACAAGTTGCTTCACCCCTGAGGCCACAGTGTTGTCGACAGATATTGGTTCATCGCCATGTAGTTCGCTTTGTTGTATCAAAGACAAGGGCGAGATCTCCCCCTGAGAATTGTTCGTTGAGTACCAGATCGAACACTACCACGCCGTGGTGGCTGCTGCCGAGGGGGGGGTTGAACCTGTACATTTTCTACGAGCAGTGGGTCACTGGTAGAGAGGTAGTCCAGTTTGGATGGCCTCCCACCCTACCCCCAGCGAGTGTCATCACCAATATTCTCGCGCAGTCCAGCCCTTTTGATAGTGTTGAGTAGGTTTCGGCCGAACCTTCGGCTTGAGGTTACCCTGTCCTACCGAAGATTGAGAGTCGGAGCACTAAAGTCGCCAGCTATAATGATCTGGTCATATCCGATGAACGTTGCCCCGGACATTACCTGCAGCAGTTGTCGGTTATCTTTCAGGCAGCTAGTAGGAGTTCTGCAGACGCCTCCTACCAGGTACTTGGTGTGTCCAACCTCAAATTGGCACCAGATGGAGTCTGGAAGCCCTGAAAGTGGAGTTTCAGTTGCTCGTTCTTTTTGAAGGTCATCACTTACAAGCAAGGCCACTCCGCCCCCTTCCTTGAACTCTCCGTCTCTCCTGAACAGACGCATACCGTGTATACCAGTTTCGACGCCACTAATATTCGGTGTAACCAAGTTTCTGTCAGGATTATGGTCGTTGGAGCAAGGTGGAAACGGAGAAATCGTAACTCCCCCATCTTACTTCCAAGTCCCCTCAAATTTCTGTTAAGACACTTGGATATGATCCTGACGACATGGGGTAACTTGGTGCTGGCAGACTGGCGGGAGTTGTGAGTGGTGGCGAAACGTGCTATAGGACGTCCAGCTCCAGTGAAACCGGCTTGCTTTGTTTTTTGGGGGGAGGGGGAATGCAGCTTCTGACAATATCAATCAACCGTCTGCAATTCTTGTTGTTGTAAGCACATGAAAGTGAGCGTTAGGTATTACTCGAAATGTGCCGGAAATAGGGTGAGTGGGGAATGAGAAAAAGAGGAGTGAGAAGTGCCTATGAAAAGACGAGTATACTGGTAATAATATGGAGAAGAGATGCAACTTGTTGCAGGCACTAGGGTTGGGGAGCACAGAGGTGGAAGGGCGTATCACCAACCGCTACTGACAAATGTTGGTGGTAAGCCACTTACGCTCACATACCCATCCACCAGTCGTTTGAAGGAGCCAACCGATGTAGCTGTGGCCACTTCCTTTGGCATACCGTTCCATAAGACAAATACTTTGTGGGAGAAGAAGTTGGATCTCACTCTCATCTTTGCTCGATGGTGGGGTATGTGAGCGGAGTTCTCATGGGACTGTCGGTTTGGGACAGATAACGTTGACCTATTTGAGTGGTCAGCTGGCAAGTGGTCTCATAAGCTGTTATCAGGTCACCTTGTGTCCTCCGACAGTTTAGTGTGAGCAAGTCAAGTTGTCTTAGGCATATGTCTGCCTTTTAGTCCGACAACCAAACTTTTTGCTCCGTTCTGTGCCTTCCAGAGAGTATCTGCGTCTCTCTTTAGTAGTGGGGGGCCATCGTGTTGAACACTTCCAGGTATGGTCCAACATAGGTTTTGAATACCATAAGGAATGATTCTGGGGTTAACGATCCAAGCTGTCTTTTTAGAAAGTGCATAATGGTGTTCGCCATTGGCTGCCATTCCCTTATAAATGCCAGCAGTGTCCAGTGTGTCAGAAAAGTTTAGTCCTAGGTCATTCTCTGCGGATACCTTAGTGGTTGCACGCTTGCCAAGAGTGTAGCTGATTTTCATCGCCTCTGGCGTGCGATGATACGTCACTTTTCACCTTACCGGAACTGCAGCTGCAACAGGCCACTTTGCAATATCCTAGGATCCTCTTCGTCACCAATCGTCCTCCATATTTTGATGTCGCTAGCAAATAGGAGGATAGACGAGGAGATTTTAGTGAAGAGGTCATTTATGAAAGGTGAAAATTGGGGTGGCACAAGGATCGCTCCGTGAGAAATTCATGTTCTTGCATTCCTCCAGGTTTATCGGATATTGTTTACTTTGGTGTAGAATTCTTTGTCCTCCGGGTTTACTATAAACCGTGCTGATGGTGGTTCAGCAATACTCACTTCTGCAAGTTTGGAGAGGATGGTGCAGTGTGGGACGCTTTTGAAAGCTTTAGACAAGTCCAAGAAGATAACGCGAAATGGTTTTATGTTGTTCCATCTAGTGGTCCAGTCATCTCAAGTGGTCATCAGGTCTGTGGTACGTGGCTGCCCAGTCCTGAGGCCATGTTAGGTGGGATGAGTGACAGTTTTTCCTTTCAAATCGTCTCAAACATCTCGACCAGGTTTTCCAGTACCCTGGGAAGTATGGGAAGTAATGTTATTAGTCTGTAGTTTCATGGGATTTTCGGTCTCCTTCCTTGAAGACTGGCGAGAGGATGGCAAGTTTCTATTCCTTGGCGAATCAACTTACTTCCAACGGATGCGTGAACAGGGAAAGCTTAACACTTTGATACAGTTGCGCAGGATCATCATTTTTACGCCGTCACAGCCTGGGGATTTCCCTGTTCTCATTGTTGAGATTTTTGCGAACATTTGGTTTAACGAAATCTTCATGTTCATCCGCTTTGTATCTCAGTCCTCGGACTTCGTTCCATAACTAGACGTTGATAGTGGAGGTATTACTGGGTTGAGTTGCTCGCCAAGTCCACTGCTGAACAGTGCCGCTATCTCACAGCTTTTCAAACGTTCTCCGACTGGACCTATGACCAGGCCTAAACCCTCATCCGTCGCTTTGCGTTGTGACGCAAACTGATATGGACCTTTCGGGCTGCAGCTTGACTGCTTAGCCAGGTTGCGTAGCGTCTTGTACCTGGGGAAGTCTGATTCTTTGTGAAACATGTGCCACCGATACCATGCCTTCTTTTCCTTCTGTTGGGTTGCGCGAGTTTTCCCGAAGGCCATTTGAGGGGTGGCCGTCTGGTTAGCTTCCAAACACTCTTCGATAGTGCTCCAGATAGCATCTTTAATATGTGGCCGGTGTTCGTCTATCGATGTTGAACGCCATTCTTGTGGCCGTGCGGCCCTCAGGATATCATTGCTCATGAGATACCAGTCTGCTTTTCGGTAAAAGCGGAACGCTCCTGGCTCGACTATTGTTGGTCTCCTTGGTCATCGGACAGGATCTCACCAATGTGTAGTTGCTTTTACTTAGGGGGTGGACACCAAAAGATCATCGTCTGTTAAAACTTGGTTGATTAACTTGTCACTCCCAACATCCAACATATCCAAAATCTTTTTATGCAGTCGCACAAACCAAGCGATTTCTTTTTGCTTGCTTCTATGCCCTGATTAATCCTACCGGGTCGTTGGTGGATTCCGATGCAGGAGATTGGCCATCTCAGCTGCAGTAGTTATGATTTGGTCGATGGGTTGGTGGGCACTGGTTAAATGTATCGGGCGTTGCGTGACCTGTCCTACAAGTGTAGTGCAGATATATTCCTCATGTTTAGCGTCCCTAGAATGTTGTTCGGGCTGGCTTTAAAGGGAAAAAGGAAGAATGAAAGAGGTATAGCAGAAGCAACGGAGATCAAGTGAGGTAAAACAAGTTGTAAAGGGGCAAAACGAGGGGAATACAGAAATTTAGTTGAATTCCGGGGAGACAGAAAGAGAAGTGGCGGAAAGAAGAACCTTACCAAACAGGGTGAAATCGGAGAGTGGGAGGGATGTGAGGGATCAGGCGAGATAGGGGTGAGAATTGTGGGAATGGATATAGTGATGGCATTATTGGGGCATGGCGGCTGAAGGTCAGGCATCTAACAGTGAAGTACAAGGTTGAAAACGAGGTCGTGACAACAGTGGTAGCAAAAAGGGAGTCATTATGAGGGCGACTATGTCGGAATTATGAGAAATCAATTGGTTGTTTTGGCGTAGTTCAAATCCAGCTTGATGGACACGGGCCACGTGTCGTTGCGTAGCTGCCCAAACCCTTCTTGATGTTGTCGACAGACGAAGCAGTAGCAGTCTCGGCAGGTAATACGTTTCAGCGGCTGCAAACCGGCATAAATATAAATTTTGAACACAGTTCTTCGCTATTTGATGGGAGATTCTCCTGTGGTTTTTCACAAGGACCACCGAGGCAACCAATCGGCAGAATTCCGCCGTTCAAGTGACTTCGACTGCCTGTAAATCGTCATCAGATTAGGACGTCACCTTTGGTAACTGAGAGAGTGAAGACCCAGGTCCTTCAATAAAGTGGACAAAGAGAACTAGAAATTGCCTTAATTTTAAGCCTGTGGTCCTTCAGAATGCTCCGTATGTGGACAGTGCCAGAATTAGTCACCTGGTCCCAACCAATCTGAAGGAAGCCAAAACAGATGACTGTTTGATTCCCTGGTAGATAATATTTGTGTCTGGGAGAGACAGTGCAACTTCTTGGTGTCAAAGTCCTAAAATGTATAACTGAATATTTAAGAAATTTGACAAACCGCTGCCGGAAACTTTCGGCGTTATGAGGTATGGGTAGCCGCTCCTAAACAAATTCTTTCGCGTCTCTTTTTTGATGAGTATTGGCTACATCTCGGGGTCTGTCGTTCTGCCACTCATGTACACATCAGTTATAAGTTTCTTCAGGAAATACTTTTTGGCCGCATGTAAGCAGATACCGTGCTGTTCTTGGAGTATTTGAAATCTAGCTTGTATTCGTGTTTGTCTTTCTCCGAATGCAGATAAATGTGGGCGGGTTAGTAATCAGGTCAATATAATCGCAAGTGAACTTGCGTACAGCCAGTTTCGTACTACGTAACAGCAATTAAAGAATTGTCCCTATGCAAATCTGACAGACACAGAAGATAATCACTAATTATTCGAATTTGCAAAATACCCTCAATACGAGACCAAAGGGGAGAACACAACAACGTAGTCGGATGGAATAGTATATTTGCGAGGTCTTCCCAAGGTACCGATACGTTTCGACTAATTGGCTAGAGAGTCGATGGCTGGCGGTGCAATGTACACGACAGCGTGCCAAATGGCGAGGATGCTCGACCGCGTGCCTTCAGCTTATCGAGTCCGGTACAACTATGAAGGTCAGCATCAATGTTGAATCTCGTCGAACCCTAGGCTATTGGTTCTGGAGATGTATGTGACGCCACGGATCACTCCCCTCTAGTGAGATCGTGAGAAGTCTAGGACAGAACCAACCGGAAATAAGCACCCGGTGGTCTCTGCACTGGTAAAACCATCTCTGTGGGTTCATTGCGAGAAGTGGCACTTGGTTGTCCAGGGTGTCATGGTGTGGGAAAAAATGAAATGCAACAAGTCGAATTGCACGTCAGTCGCTGTCCTCAGTGTCCTTCGACGTTCTCTTCAGTGCTCGTTGCACCTGAATATAAAGGAGTCTTTAACGACACGAAAACGTTCTTTAAAACTAGGAAGAATTTATTTATAAATAAAAATATCAAACATAGACCTTACGCTTGTTTTGATTTCGTTTTTTGAAAAAGTATGTTTACTTGGAGGTGAAAAATTGGTACGAAAAACCAAACAACAGGAAAACTTTCTCATCCCCAGTAAATAAAACATGGTGACGAAAGAAATCTGAATTGACGAATAGTTGACACATTTTATTTCACATTGCTCACTTGAATATGACTTTAAATACTCCGGAAACCTGACGGGTCGACCTAATCGTGTTTTCGCTGTGTCGGCGGTTGTTGCATCTGTGTACTACCAGGCACATCGCCGAGAATTTCGACAACTGGGGTATCTGCCGGTCGACTATAGTGAGTGGAAACGTCACCGACGATGGGGTTGCCTTCGGAAAAAGCCGGTTTCAAACGATGGATACTAACAGTATCTTCACGTCCGTTTCTCTTCATTATGTAGAAGTTCTCGTGCCGCTTGTTCACTTTGAAGGGTCCATGGAAACGCAAATCAAGCGGTCGATGAACGGCACTGTGGGGGTCAAACACGTGTGATATCTCTTGTTAAACGGGGTGAACGAAGATATCACTCTTTTGAGGTCTAACAGGAGTAAACCTAACTGAACGCATTGCATTTGTAAGCCCGTTCACGCAAGATTTCCTGTCAAAAAAAGTTTGAGAGTTGAGGGAGAAACAAGCTCACCTGGTAAACGAAGAGTAGTCCCACAGGCGAGTTCTGCAGAGGTGTGTCCAGCACTAGCTTTCAACGCGCTACGAATACCTAGTAGGACTAGAGGCAGAGCCTCGGTCCACTGGGGTATGTTTGCAGCTGAAGGAGAAGCTTTCAGCTGTCGATGGAAATGCTCTACCATGCCGCTTGCTTGTGGATGGTAGGCTGTCGTTCGGAACTGAGTGAAACCTAAAAGGGCAGTTAAAGCGTGAAATAATCCACACTCGAATTGGGGCTCACGGTCAGTCGTTACGTAAGATGGACATCAGAAGTTCGCGACCCATCTTTCGACGAAAACACGGGCGACAGTTTCAGCAGTGATATTCTTAATAGGTACTGCCTCCGGCCATCGTGTAAAATGATCCACGCAGATGAGAAGATAACCACATCCACCAAATTCTGGTGGAGGCCCTACAAAATGTGCATATATATATATACATATATATAGGTATGGATGTGGTCAAAAGGCATGTCTGGGGCTAGAAGAGAGCCTAAATGGCTTTTCGTGTGTAGCGTGGCTTTACACTTCTGACAAGCTAAGCACGACTAAGCCCGCTTCTTGACGTCTCTGTTCATTCCCGGCCAGCAGGAACGTTATGCGATAAGCCTGATGGTGGCTGGTACACCTGGGTGGGATAGTTTGTGCAACGTATTGAAGGTGTTGCGTCCACATCTCTTCGCAACTATTGGGCGTGGTTGACTGGCAGAGATATCGCATGAAACTGTATCCTTGCCTTACCCTACTGGTTTCAGTCATAGCTTGAGAGTTGTGGACGGCAACTCATGGTGCAGCTCAAGGTCTTCTTTTGGACAACGAGCTAGTTTAACGAGGTCAACGCCTTCGATACGGCTCATCGAAACTATTCGAGACGGTGCGTCGGCTACGGAGTTATTTGCTCCCTAAATGTGGTGGATATCTGACGTGAACTGGGAAATGTAATCCAGCTATCGCGACTCACGAGGGGAGTATTTGTCAGATGTCGAGCCAAGAGAAAAAGTTAACGGTTTGTGGTCTGTGGAGATGATGAAGTCACGACCCTCCACCGAATGTCGAAAATGGTATACAGAACAGTACACAGGTAGAGGTTCCCCACCAAATGTACTGTATCTTGTTTCCGCGTCTTGCAGCCGCCTCGAGATAAGGGCTATAGGTTGCCACTGGTTGTCAGGTAGCTGTTGCAAAACTGCTCCAATTGCTGAGTCAAACGCATCAACAGCAATGCTCAAAGGAGCATTGGGGTCGTGATGTTAGGCATGGTTAGATTCGAGGTGCGTTCCTCAACTTCAGGGAAAGCAAGTCTAGTCACGTTGCCCAGGGTCACGCGCTTCGCTGCCCCTCATAGCAGGTCTGTGAGTGGCCTCATAAAAGAGCCACAGTTGGGAGTAAACCTTCGGTAACAACTTAACAGGCCATTGGGAGTGCGGTGCTACTTCACAGAGGTCGGCTCCGGATAGCCGCCACTTCACCCCTCAATGGGCATATACCTTTGTTGCCAACAGTGTACCCAGGGAAGCTGAGTGATTCCACTCCTATTTTACACTTCTGCAAGTTGACTGTGATGCCACGCCTTCTCAGTCTAGTGAACATGAGGTTCAAATGCTTAAGGTGAGTTCCCTTATCTGAACTCTCAATGAGACAGTCGCTGATGCAGGCATGGACAAAATTCAAACTATGGAAGACGTCATCCATAAGGCATTGGAATGTTCGCGCTGCATTCCGAAGACCAACTGGCATGTGTAAGAGTTGATACAAGCCCAAAGGAGTAATAGGGACTGTTTTCGCGATATCACATGCTGTCAAGATCTGATTATACGCTTTGACCAGATCGATTTTGGAGAATATGTTCATTCCGCGTAACGTTGCAGTCACGTCGTAAACATGAGGTATCGGGTAGCAGTCCGGTGTTGTTTTGGCGTTAAGCCTTTTGCAATCACCGGCTGGACGCCAATCATTGCTACCCTTTTCGGGAACCATATGCAATGGTGACGCCCAGGAACCACTTGAAGGTTTGATAATGCTCAGTTCCAGCATGTGGTCGAATTCACTTTTCTCCGTTTCGGGCTTCACAGGGGCTAGACGGCGTACCTTGGATGCCACGGGTGGACCTATGGTCGTGACGTGATGCATAAAATTGCTGGTTACGCACGGAAGAGTATGCTTCGATTGTTGTAACGCTGGATACTTCTGCAACACTGTCTGACAGGATGGGTCGCCTGAGTGATCAGCTCTAACGATGGCTAAACTGGAAACTACATAGGTCGTGCCGCCAATGGATGACTTCATATTGTTATCAATCAGTCATCGATGACAAGGATCTATGGGTGGATCGTAATGGTTTGGCAAATCTATGCCAACGATGGGCATTGAAACATCAGCCAGGGGGATAATCTACCGAGCAAGTTTATGTAGACCTCAGCCGAGGTAGGCATACCGTCTCCCAAATGTGGCGATCGCCTTGCCCTTATCCACCCGGGGATTGAGAGTTTGCTCATAATGACATTCCTTCGTCGATGCGGGAAGAGTGCCTACTTCCGCGCTGAAGTGGCTAAATTTCATTTTGACGTCACTGAAGTGCAACAAACGGCTTTGTCCCCCGGCTACGGTCGCCCTTAACGCGCGCCCACTATGCAGATTCCCGAGTTTGCATTGGTAACGGAACTGCATGGTTTCCGACGTTTTCTAGTTTCGTCCCCGCACGTATTGTGAAATCAAAACCATCAGGGGTTTCCACACTGTTGTACCTAGTGTTTGGACAAGCATGTGAGTTAATGAGATGGGCTAAGACGCGTCGCGCACGTCTCCGAATCAACAGCCAATTGTTCGACGAGATTCAACATTGATGCTGACCTTCATAGTTGTACCGGACTCGATAAGCTGAAGGCACGCGGTCGAGCATCCTCGCCATTTGGCACGCTGTCGTGTTACATTGCACCGCCAGCCATCGACTCTCTAGCCAATTAGTCGAAACGTATCGGTACCTTGGAAGACCTCGCAAATATACTATTCCATCCGACTACGTTGTTGTGTTCTCCCCTTTGGTCTCGTATTGAGGGTATTTTGCAAATTCGAATAATTAGTGATTATCTTCTGTGTCTGTCAGATTTGTACAAGAACAATTCCTAAACTGGTGAGCCAGTTCCATTTCATTCTTGTACACGGTTTTCATTTTGATAACCTTTATATATCCGTATATAATTCCTTTCCATGTCCCACCATACTCTAAAACTTGCCCTTAATAAACCGTCAACAAACACTATCCAGCTTATCTCACACTAGGCAGACAACGCGGGAACTTGGTTTCTGTATGCCAAGGCAGATGCCTGAGAACGGGGAGCCGTAGACGCACATTCTCGATTTCTTATTGTCATATGATCACCACCGCGGGAATTAAACAAGCACGTTACAGCGAATATGTTTAGTCCCGAAGTGAGTGGTCCCCATGCACTTCTGAGGAGAATTGACCTCACAGATGGCCGGCGCTTAGATGAATTACTTCGC